AATAAATTTACTAGGTATTTTAGTTGATTTTACAAATTAAATTGTAATAATTAAGAAACTTGAAATAATTTTTAAAAAAACATGTCAAAATTGAGATTATTACAAGTTACCTAATAAATTCTACTATTTCTAATGCAAATTCAGTCATTTGGAATCGATAATTGTAATTTTTACGTTGTCATAAAAGATTTGTTTTCTCCGTGTGATGTATTAAGTAGCATTTTGTTGTGTTTTAATAACTTGGAATTTTTTTTTGTACTTTTTTACTTGTAAGAACAATTTAGTAGAAGATCTGAAGCAGAGGCAGAAATATACTGATAAATCTTGATTTTCTATAGAAACTTGAAACTATCAAATACTTACGTTAGAAGACTGTACATGTTTTTGTTGGCTATTTTAATATTTAGTCGTTAATTGTTCGAAAATTACACTAACAAAAGACAAACACTGGAATGCCATACGCTTTTTTTTTTATTGTATCGGGCTTTCGCGCTAAATACAAACTAATTATCTGAATTAGAAAGAAGTATCATAAGAGAAAATGTATATAAAGGGAAGTCGTAATAGTCATTCTATTAATATATATATAACTACCAGAAGAGGCATAATCAGTCTTAAGGAATTAGTACAGTAGTATTAAAGTAACAATTATCGCATATACACTATTTTTAATACAGTATACTTAATTTTACTAATTCAATGTGTATTATAAGTCGGCAGATTTTACAAAAGCACCAGGAACCCTTAGAATCTAACAGTTAGTGAAAAAAATTAACTCAAGGAAAAACGTTCAATACGTTATGGCCACTTAACATAACTTCATAAACTTCATTATTATTACACATTTAAAGTTGTAAAAGGTAAAGTAAGACAGATACATTCGCAAAATTAATTACTGTATATACACTTAGTAATAATCAGAATGATAATTGGTAAAAGTGAAACATGCTACTTTTTTCTTTATTTCAATAAATGGATATTTTTACAACTAAAAAGTAAAAACTGTGTATATCTAAGAAACCGAATAACTAGACCAAAAATTCACCTTTTCTAATCTCACCTGTAGTTTCAAGGATAGCAAAACTTCATAATTCCAGAGGGTCTAATATTAATAGTTAATCCTCTCAAATGATTTTTAAGAAGGCTGTGCAAATAGAAAAAAATATTGGTTATTCTTTAGTTGCTAAATTAAAAGTCCATAAAAAAGTATACTCGTTTCTTGAAAGGATATCTTTTGTGTTCCGTTTCTATCAAATTAATTAAAATTTGGAACAGTGACAATATTGTTTTAATTGAAGCCATTCAGCCTCCAAGGCTTTCTCTGAATCTTTAGGTCGTCACGTTTGGGAATGATACGGGAGATATGTATATAAAACAAAGTTAAAAATTCCTAATTCAGAATTTTTTTGACATATTTCACTTAAAGAGGAGAGAACACTTAGACGACGACTTCCAATGAAAAGAGCAAGTTCGAATACAGCCTATTAATGTAAAAGAATTACCTTACAAAGATCTAATTAAAAAAAATAATGAGAAANTTTAAAACCAAACATGATATTATTCGGAGATGTGCAATTAAGATTGAATGGAATAAAATTTTGCAGTATCTCTTATCCAAACTGTTTTGAAAAATATCTACTTCCTTTCGTTAATAATTCTCAATAACCCGTGAATTATTTCTAGCCAGGTTTGAATAGCTTTTGTAAATAATAAATGGTGTAAGGACTTCACATACATAAACGTTATTAATCGTTACATAGAGTACGTTGTTTAGCTGACACATGAAAAGCTACCGAAACGCTTTGAGAATTTTCGCAGCAATTCTTTTTAGTCAGTGATTTATATCGTGAACCAAAACATTGCATGTATTTTTATATTATGTAATGACCCACAGTATGTTGGGCAATTACATTACAAATTACATGTAATTGTACAATCCAACCAAAAAATGACATGAAGAACGACTTGTGATAATGCGTGAATAAATATTAGTCTTTAAACTCATACTATAGATGACACCAAAGCTCCAAAATGATTTATATTTATAGTACAGTCCTCATAATCGACTCAAGAAATGTAGTTTATAGAAAATTTATATAAAGGTAAATGAAACACTAGTTTCACTAAAAACGACAGTGAACAGAATTTGTCGAGTTTTAAGAAATTTCGTTTTTAGTGAATCGGATTCAGTAATGATGAGCAAAATTGATGTTGGTCTTGCAGTCAAGGTATTGGTTTTGCGAAAATAAAAGACCAAGAGCGAACAAACAAGACCATATTATTACTTTCGGTGGATTTATAAATTAAACTACAAATTTGAAGCAATTGTAATATATTCTTTTCTTGGAACAAAGTATTTTTATATGCAAAATTTTAACACTAAATATAAAAAAAAGAAATTTTTCACTATTTCGACGAAATGTTGGTGATGGTTCTCGGAGAATTGTTATTGTCAAATCAAATAGGTCATATTTTGCAATAGGTAAATTCACTTCAACTCTTTAATATAGTCATTAGGAAATTCCTGCCAGGTAAACCTTATTATTGCCTTTCAACCTTCAAATTGCATGTTAAAGCTAAAAAAATATATAAATAGCAACAATAAAAAAATATTCGGACTATGCTTCATTTCTTAGGCTAGGGTGGGTAGTAATCCTCCCTCTGTTTCAGACATTTTATCATGTAAATTGTAATAATCGAAAGTAAATTTGATTCTGCCCGTGATTCTACATATTTTAAGAATTTTGAAACTCTATCATCAAGTAGTTCAGATATTTGTCCTACCATTCAAAAATACATTCATCAATATCGATTAAGAAACGCCCAAGAGACTGAAACACCCTGTAAAAAATAAAAAAATTATCTTATTTCTTTTCAGAGACATATTAGAGANATACTAATTCTAAAAAAAATAATCAAAAAATAAATAATTACTTAGGGACTTGAATAAATAAATAAATAAAATAAATAAAAATATGTAATCAGAACAGCATGCGCCATCTAGTATTGAATGGCCGTTATGTACTAAAACTACTTGTGTTTGTGAGTTGTTTAGTGATCTACATTATCCACAAGAAGAAGTGCCGTGATTTCATTTCCCATGCAATAGCAGCGCTTGCGTAATAGCTTTGTTTAACAGAATGTTAATGATTGCCTAAATTTCACATTTTTTTGAAGTAATTTAAGAGTAATTGCAAATAACTGAACAGGTATGTCGAAAAAGTTATTACATGTATACCTATAAGTGATCATGTTCATAAAGTTTGATAACGTTACTTCAGATACATATTGTAATAGGGTTATGTAAATTTTGTAAATATTACGGTTTTAAACAATGTCAAAAAGTGTTGTAACAGCTGATACATTTTCAGAGAAAAATGGCAGATCAACAACAGTTTTTCTTAAAATGGAACGATTTCCAAAGTAATATGGTATCATCTTTTCGGCATTTAAGGGACGAAAAAAGTTTCACAGATGTTACATTGGCGTGTGAGGGGCAGACGTGTAAAGCCCATAAGATGGTGTTATCTGCATGTAGCCCTTACTTTAAGAGTTTATTAGAGGTAAGATTTGCCTTTGATTGGCATTGTACCTAATACTTTCAAAGAGTCTACTCATTAGCAAATTGAAATGGTGTATCAATATTTTGACAATACCTTTTTCTGTACGAGATGATTCTCTTATTTTTTTAAATCATTAAATTGCTATAATATCTTATTTATTACATTACATTGTTTACACTATATTGTTCATTACAAATTGAAATTGATAATGAGTTGCTTGAATTTAATGATTCTAGAAGTACCTGTTGCAATTTTTTTATTAATTATTTCATTCCTTTTTAGGAAAATCCTTCAAAGCATCCCATTATAATATTAAAGGACGTAGCTTACAGTCATTTGCAGGCAATTTTAGAGTTTATGTATGCAGGTGAAGTGAATGTTAGTCAAGAACAGTTACCAGCATTTCTCAAAACAGCCGACAGATTAAAAGTTAAAGGACTAGCTGAAGCACCACAAGCCATCAAAAGAGAATAATTGATAGATAATTAATTTATTTTTTAAAAGTACAGATCCCACATTTTGCCTTTTCCATAATTATATTTTATTTTCATTGTTTCTTTCAGGAGAATTTTTCATGTTTGTTTTTTAGATTTTTATTATTAGTTTTTTCATTCTAAAAGGAAATTATGGTGCAATTTATCTTGCATTTATAGGCTTAAAACAAGTATAAGTGAGTGACAACGAAAAGTGTTCATATATTTGGATCTGTTTCTTTTTTCTTTTGTTTCTTTAATTTCACTATTCACAATACATTGCTGGTATCTGCTTCTGTATACTACAGTTACTGTTTAGAAATACTTTACTGGTTACTCAATTTTATAAACACTTCTACTATTACTGCTACTACTAATAGTAACTGGATAATAGATGACAAAATAACATTTAATGGCTGTGACAATGCATTTTTTACAGGAAGGTTCCTTTTAACCATTTATTGTATAGGGTGACTTTTACTAACTTTAGCTAATGAAATATATTGAGTAGATCTCATTATTTGGGATAAAATTTAAGATAAGAGTTGTGTATTTTCTCATAAATACCGACCTAAAAATTAACAGCATATCAACTTTAAAAGTGTTATGTTTCCTGATTATTTGAAGAGCCCAGGGTTGATTTATGTTATGAAATCATTTGATTGAATGAGATTTAGCTCTAAAGAAATTAATAGGGTTTAAGAGACAAAAATAAATAAAACAAATAATCGTAGGTCTGATACTCAAGGAAACATTAGATTTTAAAGTTGATTTGTTGTCAATTTAATCATAACTTTTGTCAAAAGCTTTCTTTTAAATAGTGAAATCTAATCAAGATAGTTCACTGTCTCATGGTAGAAAATTCACCCTATATACGATTAACAGAATCACATTCAGCTTGTAAATAGTGCAACAAAGTTTAATTTACGCACCCAACATAACAATAGATTTTGTTAACATCACTTTTTAAATATATTTTATAGGTATTTTAGGAAAGAGAAAATTTTTAAAAAATTCTTCATTCAGTTCTTGTTAAATACTCAAACTTGCGAGCCTTAAAGCAACGTCTAGATAATTGATATTTTACAATTAATGAAGAACCCATGTATTAATTTTTTGTTTAACATTTAAAAACTATGCATGCATTACTAAATATATCATCAAAATATATTTTTTAACTTGTAAATATTATATAGGTATGTGAGACTTTTAAAAGGAACAGAACTGTTTTAGCTTAATTTTTCATAATTGTGAAGCAGATACCAGTATAAAGTGTAAAAAATTAAGTTTATGACATTTGTGTAAAAAGAGTCTTCTTTTAATTCAAACTATGTAATATTTTGGTTTGTATGGAATTGCATGTCCTTGGATAATATTCTTTCGTTACATTTCAATAGCAGTTGTTGAATTGCAGATAATTTATACATTTTTTTACATATTAAGATTTATAGATGAATTGTAGTAGATGCATTTTACGATTTGTTTTCTAATTTCATATGTTTAATGTTTCAGTTTAATTGATTATAATTAATACCTTGTTGTTACCATTCTCTAATGGAAATATATAGAGAAAAATAATGAAATAAAAGAGAATTACATATTAGGATACATTGTTGCTGGTGTAACGATGTTTCCGTTAATTTTTGAAATTCCGAGGTCGGCATTTTCCACGTCTTACAAACAGACCACACCATTTTGTAATTACTTTTAATGAATCAAGTATAAGATATTTATAGTAAATAAAGGTTACTTTTAATTTTGATTTTTTTTAACCAATTTTTCCTAAAATTTTCGTTCTATACCTCCCCTTGGACTTGTAGGATCGTGCTTTCATTTTTGTGGACTTCCACTTACTAGGTGGAAGTCCAGGAGTCCTGGTAGGAAGATTTTTAAACTTTTATACTATAAAAAACTTAAAAAGCAAAAAGTGAATACTGAAAAAAACAACAGTTTGAAAAGTATTCATATGAAAGTAATAAAAAAATAGGTTTTTAAAGTTAGCTAAAAATAACCAATCAAAATTCGCATAAATATACAACTAAATCAAAAAGAAACGCGCCTTAATTGTCAGGAAACATAATCGTTTAGTTGCCCTTTTTAAAATGTGCGCCAAAACAAAATAATATACGTTACAGAGTGGTTTGAATTCAAACTAATCGAATTACATATTATGAGCTTCTGAAAGAATAATGCTTTTGCTTTTGACCGATAGATGGTTGCAGATATTCCAAAATAAGAAAAATTGAAGACGGGCGATTTAGAAGTACAGTAAGAAATAGGCTATTTTGTCATACATCCCAGCTTTAGAGTTTAGTTCTCTTTTTTGCCTTCTACATTTTTACTTTTTGATCGCCAATATATCTGTCCAAAATTTCATATAAGCCGTTCAAATGATACGTAATGTGTTTTTTGAATAGTTTTGAGGCTTCTTTTCTTCCTTGTGACGCTGCATAACGTTTTGCTTTACCTCCTCCCTCGTCCTAATGTTACTTAATATCCTAATTAGACGAGCAAGACACCTCCTTATTTTTAAGGTTGGTGATCAATCTTGTTCTAGGAGCTAATTTCGCTTAATTGTTATAGTTTCAGATGCACCGAGTTTGAAGGCATGTATTTTTTATTAATAATTGGGAGAATTTTAAATAAAACGATAATTGAAGCAAAAAACATCAAAATTGTCATTTAAGTTGAATGTACACACATGCAATATACGCGAAAAAATAATAATTTTAAATTTAAAATACACATTATTTTTCTGTTTTTATTTTGAACTAAGATCTACTTTGCACTTTGACTCTTTTTTTTAATTGTTCCACCATTTCTCAATTAAAAATACATACATATTAGGATTTAGCGTACCAAAAACCTTAAGAATCATTTAAGATTAGCGCCTAGAACAAGTCGGTCACCAACTTGCTAAATAACACACTTTTTGGGGGCGTCCCGTTAGCCTAAATTTCTATTTTGTTACTAATAAATGTTAATTATGGCATGCAAAATACCGGAAAACCTAATTAGCATTTGTTGTTGTTTCCATCACATTTACAGTAACAAAAACATGTTACGTAGCACGTTGCTTAACCCCCTCTTCTTTACATTTTATGAAACCCCTCTCCCCCAGCTGCGTTTCGTAATACTTGAACGACCCCTTAGTGATTGCGGCAAAAATCTAAAGGGATTACTGAGATCTGCCCCCGATCTAGTATTTTCCTGAACCAGCGCAGAAACTTGACATTTGCTCTACCCCCCTCCTGCATTTGAGATTAATGATTCGAACATTTTTAATTTTCGAGACTGGCAATTTTTGTGATCCATTTTACTGTAGATCTATGTAGACATATTTACAAACACGTGGTCACTGTAGGCGAAATTCTTTGTTCTGGTTCTTCCTATTTCTGTTAAAATATTTTATCTTGGGGAAACAGCTGGAGTTGGTGATGTCGCTGTGCTATGGACCACTGTTCCATTGAGTTGCTGCTTTATTCACCCCTAGATGATTGAGATTAAATAAGACTTTTCAAGGAAGGATTATGACTGAAAGGTTTGGGCTGAGATCGTCTATAAAACGAACCAGTGATGCTTTCTTTGATTTGATTCGTAAAAGTGTTGAAATAAAACTCTGATTTAATTCAAAATTTTATTTTTTTGATTAACTTACGTATCTAAATTTTGTTACACTTAAACTTTGTTGATTGTCGAAAGGAAATCCACAAAATACATTATGAGTATTTTGATAATAGTTTATTGGTAATGAGACACAGTAATATAAAGACGTGTGCAGGATATTTGACTTTACGGATATGTATATGGATTTATTATACATAAGTATAGGCATTTCTGAACAATATTTTGAACAGTTAAGATCGCCTGTTTGTTGTAATGTATTGAACGAATGTTAACAAAACTTGAAACAGATGATAACATTTCATCAATACATCAACCGAAATAAGGAAAATCAAGAAGTGGATTAATAAGAATCCTTTTTTTTTTTTCGTTACATTGAAATTACAAGAAATCTTTTTATTCACATACTTACAGGACTTATGAATACTTGCCATCAGGTATATAAAACTTTCATTGTTAGTTAATACGTTAGCCCGTTATTTGACAGATTTTAAATAATAATCTGTTAAATATAAGTATATACAATATTGATCCTTTTTGAAATTTTACGTCTTCAATCGATTTTTTCAATCGAAATTACACGAAACACTATTATGTCTCTGCTTCTTGATGAGAACGTGATGAATTATTGATTGATTTTGCCAATTTTTTCATGGAAAAGGTCGTAATTTCGTTTTGATCTACACGGAGAAAATGAAAAAGAAATATTTACTTAAATATTAGAGCGATATTTACAATTTATCCCACTAGCCCGTTGCTTCGTAAGCGAAAATAATAAAAATTACAATTTGGACCTGAATTTGTAAAAATAAAATCCCAGCAGAAATAAATTTACTAGGTATTTTAGTTGATATTACAAATT